CTCCCACTAAAGCCAACAATGGGGCACTATTCCTCCCACTAATGCCAATGATGGGGCACTATTCCTCCCACTAATGCCAATGATGGGGCACTATTCCTCTCACTAATGCAATGATGGGGCACTATTCCTCCCACTAATGCCAATGATGGGGCACTATTCCTCCCACTAATGCCAATGATGGGGCACTATTCCTCCCGCTGTTGCCAGTGATGGAGCACTATTCCTCCCAGTGACATCAGTGATGGGGCACTATTCCTCTCACTGACGTCAATGATGGGGCACTATTCCTCCCACTGATACTAATGATGGGGCACTATTCCTCTCACTGACGTCAATGATGGGGCACTATTCCTCTCACTGACGTCAATGATGGGGCACTATTCCTCTCACTGACGTCTAATGATGGGGCACTATTCCTCTCACTGACGTCAATGATGGGGCACTATTCCTCTCACTGACGTCAATGATGGGGCACTATTCTCCCTCTGAAGATGTGGAATTGGTAATCTGACTCTAGGTCATTTTCTACTCCCACTGACAACAGTACAGCCCCCCTGAAGTCTGAAGGATAGTAAACTGGCCCCTCGTTTAGAAAGGTTGGAGACCCCTGCTCTATAGATCAGAATGCCTTGAAAAGCTACACAGGATGGTCATCCCCTCAGTATTAATTTGAAAGAACTTCGGACTTTTTGTATTGTTGTCAATATAAAGTCACTCTTTCTAAAAATGATTATATTGTTGTGATAATTAAAAGCATTTATATTCACGGTAAAGTTTGCTGTACACATTATGTGGCTGAAGGTATTTGTGCCAAGGTGGTTTTCTTTTTTTAGAACCGATGTATAGGTCTAGAGCACATCCCTCCAGTTCATATTAAGACATCCTATCCTTTATTCTTAGATTTTGTTCATATGATCAAGGTCAATTTCATCTAACATTGTAAAGCTTCGGTTTGCAGGCACTGCCAAATCAGACATTGGAGAACCTCAAGCGATCATTATAAACAGGCTCAAGGTCATTTTCTAGGGTAGTCAAGCACCAACCCTGCCGGCGTATCTTAGTGAAATTACTTCAATAATTATAAACAAGCTCCGTCATTTTTTAACCACTTCCAGTCCGGACACTTTTACCCCCTTCCTGTCCAGAGCAATTTTCAGCTTTCAGCGCTATCGCACTTTCAATGACAATTGCGTGGTCATGCAACACTGTACCAATATGAATTTTTTACCATTTTTTTTAGACAGATAAAGCTTTATTTGGTGGTATTTATTCACCGCTGGGATTTTATTTTTTTTTTGCTATGTAAATGAAAAAGTCCCAAAATTTTGAAAAAAAGTGTTTTTTTTATAAAATTTTACAAATAATTAATCTTTCATCATAAATCTTGGCCAAAATGTATTCCGTTATCTTTTTAGTAAAAAAAAAAAAAATAAGCCAAATTAGTTTTTAACCAAAAATTATAATTTTTAAAAAAAATTTTTTTTTTATATTATTATTTGTTTTTTTTTTTGTTTTTTTTACATACTGTCACCCTAGCAGTACAGTGTCACCATTGTGACACTGTACTACTTGTGGGGGGTGATGAAGATTTTTTTTTTTTTTTTTTTTTTTTTTTTACAGTGATTGCTTTTACACCCATATAGGATGTAAAAGCAATCATTTCTCTTTCTCTCTGTCCGCATTCTTGCAGCCATTGAGAACTACTGAGTGAGCTGTGATTGGTCACAGCTTGTCACATGGTACAAGGATGTTGGGAATAGCCTTGTACCATGTGACCTCTGTGATCATTCACAGATTTCACACGTAGTAAGCAGTGATGTCACAAGTGACATCTTGCTTACTACTGTGCATGTGATTGGCCAATCAGTGATCACATGATCGGGACCTCGTACAGAGGTCCCGTCCAATGATCGGTGTTTCACTGTGTCCGGAGGACACAGCGGGCACCGGATCGCGGTGCTGCGCACTCCCAGGGAGCACGCACAGCTAGACATGGCGGGTGCCATTTATGAACGGCAACCCGCCCCTGGAGTGCCACCGTCCTGCCGTTTATAAACAGCAGGCGGACGGCAAGTGGTTAAACCATGGTCAAGCTCAAGTCCACCGGCACATCTAAGTTTGCTGGTACAGAATGTAAGGTGTGACACACCAAATTTCAAAATGACATTATCACCGCTGTGTTAGTGTACCTGGCCTTTCCACTGCCTGTTATCCTCACATTGGTCTTACAGTACATATCATCACTTAAATGGTATAGGAAAAGCAGAATTAGACCCAAAAGCAAACATTTATTATATTGCAGTTTACCAATTCTTAGATGTGATGGCTGCATTCGTCTTCTTTTTCAGGCATTCTTTTGTCTGTTTTTATCTGGTGATCCAGCCAGTAAGTCTATTGTTTTTCAAAAGAACAAGCTCTCTTGCAGAGCTATCAGTTACATGGATGAGACAAACCATTTACCACTGACAGGGGTGTTTACAGTGATCATCGTTTATGTATTTATATAAAAACTGTATCCCAAAATGAAAAAAAAAACAGCTGTAACTGCCTACAAAGTGTTAGTTGGAGTTTGGCTTTGATTTGTTAGTGTATTTGAATCTGCTAGTACACCTAAAACTCCCCTCCTCCCAGACTGACAATGCTGTTGTCCAAAGGTGCTCCTTCATCCAGAGTGGGGGCACTCGAATGCAGGAGGTGTGTTACTGGATTACGGTACTTATGTGACAGTGGGGAGCAGGTGAGGTGATGTCAAATCTGATGGTGCAGTTCTGACAGATGTCTGAATGGGGTGACCTTGGGTGCCTGAAAGTAGGTACGCCAAGGATTGAAGTGCCTATAGGCAGTTGCCTAGTGTGCCTATTGCAAGTTATATAAAGTGCATCTATATCCAAACTTGCTTTTAGTTTTGGATAGAATGGGGAAAAATTAGAACCCTTGTAAGGTTTTACTGCTATCTGGGGCTCCATTAGAAAGATTTTCCTTGGCTTTCTGCTCTGAGGACAACTTTTTACCAGACAGGAGGTGAGGGAAAATCTGCACCATGGAAACAGACAATAAAAAGCTGACATGGGTTTTGGAATACCCAAACATACATTGGTCCAGCTTGATTACATCTAATTCTTCATATCTCACATTCACAGGGTTGCAGAAATTCACTGTAGTAGTCCATGCTACAAATGGTATGCACTGGTGTCTTCTGTGTGCTGTTCGGGCAACTTGCTATCTATACTGAACACGGGGTCATTCGCTTGACACCTCCACTATTCAGAGAACATCTTGTAGTTCTTTCTATTTCATACAAGGCATTCTGTGATTGAATGAGGCAGGGATTATGACATTATCCGCCCCTCCTCTTCATCCCATCCAATCATAGAATGCCTTGTAATAAAAAAAATGCAAGACGTTCTCTGAATCGTGGAGAGGCCAAGTGTGTACAAGGAAATTATATATAAGTAAACCTCTGAGGCCCTGCTCACACTAGTGCAATTTCCCCTGGGTCTGTGGGCGCACTGTAATGGGCATCATTGGAAATCACATTATTCTGTATAGTGCCTCTGATGGACCGCCTGGCACAATGCTTGAGTGCTTCCATCAGAGAGCTGCTTCCTCACCACTGGTACACAGGACTAAGGTATTATAGCTGGGTATTGCACCCAAGAAGTAGGCAACACTAGCTTAGGTGCAACTGGAATGTTTTATTGAACAGACAGAAATACAGGTTTTTATACACTTCAAAAATGTGGACAGCCCCCCTATGAACAGTAAAGTCAAACATTACAGATTGGGATAAACATCCCACACTGATTAGGTTAGGAGGTTAAGTTGACAAAAGACTAATCCCATTATGTAGGAACCTCCAGGAGGACTAGCCAACAGACAGAAACAACAGGTGACTCAATTAACAAATGGGACAAAGACACAACGGTAAACACCTTAGTAGCAAGAGACCTCAGCATCAGGTTGTTTTGAGCTAAGTATTTTAAGATCTCCTTAGAGTCTCTGAGTCGAGGAGGGGGGTTCAACCAGTCAATGCTAGTTTGGGCACAGAGACCCCAAATCTGTATCCTGGCCCTCCAGTCCTCAGAGTCTGTGTGTTTTGGGAAGACATGGACTTGAATCCGAGGTAAAACTACTCCAAAAGGTCCCCCAGGCACACACCTCCCAAAGAATAGAGCCCCCTAAAACGCCAGGGCCCATGGTCAGTAGGCAAGAGGCTAGCCTGCAGTCTCCTCCAATTGACTTTGCCCCGGTTGGGTCTGTCACAGAGCTCACTCACATCAAAGCAACATTGTGCAAAAACTATTTTTAAAAAAATTGCACTTCACAGAGTCCATCCTTAAGTTAAAATAGAAATGGATGTTTCAAGCAATAATGATATGAAGAACGCTAGCAATGACACCAAGTAATGGCTCGAAAATAAGAAACGGGGCTATGGTTAGACCACACTGAAATGTTTAGGGGGGGGATTTGAAGTAGTTCATGCAAAAAAATCTACATCATGCATCCATGGAGGAATGGTGGAATGAAAGGAGATTACACCGAGTTGATGTCAGAGACTGGAAGAAGCTATTTCCTCAAAAAGGGGCAATTCCAGCTTCTGAGTCCAAGGGGATTTTACTTTTTCAACGGTACACCATTACCTCTGTTGATATTTTTTTTTGCATAAATGATTGAAAAAGCACATTTACGTATGTTTTTATACAAGTAAATCAGATTTATTTGTAGTGTATCAGTTTGAATAAGGATCTAATGGTGTCCTGGTCGAGTATGTCGAAAAAGTCAACACTTTTCATGGAGTGTACTTATTGTATGTACAGAGATGTTCAGTAATTACACCCCGGAGGATTATTTCCCAGTTAGTCTGGAACATTCTGAATTTTCTCAGTTAGGTTTAATATTACTCCTAGTCCATGGCTTACGTTTTCTGCCTATCCTGCTGCACCCTGATTGATTTATAGACTAGATACTGTAATTATATATATTTACTTGTATCTTATCAGGTGAGTGGGCTGCAGCCTGTGTCTCGCGGGATGTATGATGGACCAGTATATGAGGTTCCAGTTACTCCAAAGTATCAAACCCCTGCCCCCTCAGCTAAATCTTCACCTTCCAAGACACAACCCCCACCTATCAGGAACCTTCACCAGTCTAACTTCAGTTTATCAGGTAAATTGGAAAAAAACATGACAAACATATTTTGCTTTTGTTCTCTGTTGCATCTAATTCTCTATATTATTTATATAAAAAACGTTTGATGTATTTGCAAGAAACCATCACAGACAAGAAAAGTCTTTGCTGCACCACCAGCTTCCATCTATCAATTTTCCTTAAAGTGTTACTACAACCCCGGACCCTGCATTCACTATATCTGGTCTCCCTGGACCCTGCATTCACTATATCTGGTCTCCCCAGACCCTGCATTCACTATATCTGGTCTCCCAGGACCCTGCATTTACTATATCTGGTCTCCCCAGACCCTGCATTCACTATATCTGGTCTCCCCAGACCCTGCATTCACTATATCTGGTCTCCCAGGACCCTGCATTCACTATATCTGGTCTCCCCGGACCCTGCATTCACTATATCTGGTCTCCCCGGACCCTGCATTCATTATATCTGGTCTCCCAGGACCCTGCATTCACTATATCTGGTCTCCCAGGACCCTGCATTTACTATATCTGGTCTCCCCAGACCCTGCATTCACTATATCTGGTCTCCCCAGACCCTGCATTCACTATATCTGGTCTCCCAGGACCCTGCATTCACTATATCTGGTCTCCCCGGACCCTGCATTCACTATATCTGGTCTCCCCGGACCCCTGCATTCATTATATCTGGTCTCCCAGGACCCTGCATTCACTATATCTGGTCTCCCAGGACCCTGCATTCACTATATCTGGTCTCCCACAGAACATGGAAATGTAATTATTTTTGTAAATAAAAACTGCTAAATACCTTTTGTCATCAGTCCTCTTGTGACTTCTATCAGTGTCTGGCCGGGCACTGGTTAATCCTCCAGGAGGAGTTTTCAGTCTCCTCTGATAGTCCTGTGAGGCTGCGTGACCCCTGACCCTCTGTCCAGATAGTGCTGATTGGCCCTATGTAGATCACATACACCCTACCAAAGAAAAAAAAAAGACTTTCTAGCAATACACAAAAAACTGAGCATGTGCAGAGTGACTTCTAGAGCTTTGTACTATCACCAGACGGACTGGGACAGTAGAAGTAGGGTAGGATCAGAGAAGACAGGATCAAACAGATTTTGTACACAATAAAGAGGATTAACTCCTTAGGTTCCACAGTGAGTATAACAAGCATGCTTTACTGCATATACAGACTGATTTTAATGTTGTGGGTTTAGAAACACTTTAAGCCCTGGTTCACATATATGTGAATTGTATGCACTTTGAACCGGCTTTCTATGGAGCCAGTTCACATATGTGCGGGCCAGCCGCAGTGTAGTTTTAAAAAGTCAGGTATGATTTTCAGTCCGGTTCAGGTGCAATAGTGTCATACACTTTAAAAAGTTGCACCTGAATTGCACCTGGACCGCTGAATGAAACCGTACCGGACTCCTTTGAAAAATTGCACTGAAACTGGCCTCGCACATATGCAAACCAGTCTAAAGGACCGATATAATGTAAAAAATTGTGTCTTGGAAACCTTATGCCTATAATATGCCTATAGTATTCAATATTCAAGCATTCCTTTTTTTATTTTACATGCCTTTATTTATATTTTTATCCTCATTTACAAGCAAGCCAAGTTGTCCAGCAAAACATGGGTTGAAACAAACTTTAGCATAGCCAGGAGCAGTTGGAGTAGCAGTTTTTTTAAACAGTTTCCTGACTGTAATTTGCAGATTACTATTCCTCAGCACTAGAGTACTAATTTACATTCCCTGTTTCACAGCTAGTGAGGTATAACCCTTTCAATGCCAGAGCCGTTTTTTTTCTGCACACGTTTAAAAATCATTTTAGGCCTAAAGGTTAAGCAAAATATTATATACAGTATGTTCCGAAAGCAGACACCCTAGGAAGCAAAATTTTCAGTAAAAATCACACTAAAGTGAGTTTTAGGACAAACAAACACAATAAATTACCCAACTTTTTGGTAAAAAGACGAGGTTGTGCTGAGTAAATAGATACCCAACATACCAAACCTTAAATTTGTGTGCACTTATGAAATGGTGACAAACTTCAGTACCCTATATTTTCTATAGACAATGCTTCAAAAGCCCCTATAGGTCATCAGCGTGTGGGGCTATATGTACCATGTGTATCACAATCGTCGTTTTCATGCGTAGGCTCCCAGACGTGTGCATTCACATTCATATGTGCATATATGTTGGGGTTGGGGAGGGCTTAAACATTTTTTGGGGGGGATATTATGTGCTTGGGTGTAAAATTCTGTTACTTAACCATTTTTTTCATCACATAGGGGACACAAAGTCCAGTCAATGGGCTTCCCAGTCATTTGATTACTTTGAATAGACATGTGCAATTTGTTCTGTTATGAATCAAAATTTGGACAAAATGTTTGTTATTCGGAGATTTAGATGTAGCCAAATCTCCGAATCACCATAGTAACAAATTGCAACAAATCCGAAATAAATTATAATGAAACGACTAATTCATTTTGGATTCATTCATTTCATTTGGACCTTTTGTTAATGTTTGAAACATCCGAAAAATGTATCAACAAATGATCCAAATGGATTCCAATCCATTTTGTTTTTATTCTACATTAAAATTTTTTAAATGATAAAAAATGCACTACATATGAAATGGAAACACATTGCACTACAGTAAGACTTCTTTCACACTGCTCCATTGCAAAAATGCATATGCGCTTTTGCCACGGTGTGTTTTGCGCTTTTGCCACATTTGCCTTGTGTTTTTCCTCTGGACATGTGACTGGACAAATTAATTTAATTTCTTTCGTTAGATTATGATTTGGAGATTCTGATGGATCCACCTCCATCCCACCCAACCAGAGTGCATAAGTAATCTCCCGGAATAATAACACCAATATAGCCTATCTTCTGAAATAATTTTCGAATTACGAATTGATTCGGAACAACAAATATAAAAAAAATGAATCCAGAATCCGATTATACAAAACAAATTCCAAAAATGAATCATTCTAACATAACAAACATGAACAAAACGAAATAATTAATCTAGCAAATGAACTCTAAACAGAACAAATATTTCCGTCGTACACATTTCTTACTTTGAACACTATGACAAACAAATGCAAAGAAATGGCACAAATTTGCAGAGGCTACAACAACTTAAAAATATGAGCATGCCTCTGTTTAATACTGTAACTGGCAAGCTACAATTGTAGTACTAATAAAAATAATATACCATTTTTTTTTAAATTTTTGCCAATATGTCAGCCTATAATAGAAAATATAAACAAATCATGAAGCAATACGCTAATTACAGTTCTAGCTGAGGTAACTGATGCATATTATTGCTGCTGAATTTGCCATCTAGGCATCAATGGCCTCTGGTCACAGAAAGGATAAAGAAGATGATTTAAACCATGTGGATGAAAAGTCATCTACATAAGCAGCTCTGGAAATGTTATAGTTTGTGCCAATTCACGGTAATGTCATTGTATTCCTTGTCTGTGATAGCAGAAAACTATTTTTAAAAGGACCAATTTTTTTATTTCCCTTTAGAAATAATTTGGTATAAAGTAGCTGTATTCAGTAGTGTGACTTACTTCATGTATACTGTAGGTTTAAGGACATAAAGCAGAAGGCACAGTAAATGAAAGTGGTATAGTGGATGATTTTCCAATGCACACTTAACTTTCAGCCCAGTAATAGCCAAAGAGGACTCAGACCATTCTTATTAAAATTGACGGTGTGTTAAAATTTATTGGATTTTAAAAACCAATGAGTTAACTCATAATTGTAAAAAGTATGCAGCGCTGGTATACCTAAAACAAGCAATAATCTATACCAAAGTCTTAGATAACATAAAAGGTGCTGAATCCCAATGAAGTGGGATGTGTGAAGTGACAAGTGTAATATAGTCAATAAACTTGTGATGAAGAATATCTGTGACTCCTGTGATAGTGGAAATGGATATATATTGCACTAACCAGATAGCACAATCACTTGTGCGTTGAGTATATAAGACCTACTCCTGGTTCTCTGAATCTGGAACACTGCAGACGGTTGAAGTCATCAGCGTTGCAACCACCAGGTGTCATACATCCGAATATGGTAACCAGCCTCCAGAGACACCGATAACAGCCACCAGGGGGATCATGCACAGTACCAAACCACAGATCAGCGGGTCTTACTTTCAAAAAGGGGACTCACAAGGATAAAGAGCCCAAGAGAAAGCCTCCAATCGTGTAGTATTTCTTTATTAGTCAAAAATTAGCATATAAAAGATGAATCAGACTTACATAGAATTCCAAGATGGCCGCCGTCCATCCATATAGGCCATGCAGTGTGTACACAGTAATTAGGGGCACCTCCCTAACGTGTTTCGTGTTCAGACACTTTTTCAAAGAGATAACTCATACACCTTACCAATCGATCAGCGACTGCTGCCCCTCTCTGCCAATCCCTTCATTGGCTTCCACTAACCCAACTTATAAAATTCAAAATACTAACCACAGCGTATAAAGCCATCCATAACACTGCCCCTAGGTATATCACTAACTTCATCCGCAGATATCGTCCAAATCGCCCACTCCGCTCCTCCCAAGACAGCTTGCTCTCTAGCTTCCTTGTCACCTCCTCCCATGCTCGCTTCCAGGACTTCTCCAGAGCCTCTCCCATCCGCTGGAACTCCGTACCGCAGTATGTCCGGTCAGCCCCCACCCTGTCTGCCTTTAGGCGATCTTTGAAAAATCACTTATTCAGGGAAGCCTACCCTACCTCCACCTAAGAACTGTACTTGAGCCACCTCCATCAGAACATCGCCTGCAGCTATCACCTTTGGTACCACCTCCCCCTTCCTTTAGATTGTAAGCTCCACAAGCAGGGCCCTCCTATTCCTTCTATACTGAAATGAATTGTAATTGTACTGTCTCCCTAATTTTGTAAAGCGCTGCGCAAACTGTTGGCGCTATATAAATCCTGTATAATAATAATAATAATAATAATAAAAAAAAAACAAAGTTGAAAATAACTCATTTTGTAAATAAGGATCCATATTCTGGTGTGTTAGCTTTGTGAATTTAGCCCCTTGTGTAGTTCAGAGACAACAACCAATAATGCACAACTGTCAATCAGTGACACATGAATGTAGAATGAAGTTGTGTAATTGGTTACTGTTCATATATGTGGGGCAGCACAGTGGCCAAATTGGTTAGCACTTCCGCCTGTCAGCACTAGGGTCGTTGGTTCGAATCCCAACCACAGCACCACCTGCCTGGAGCTTGCATACTATCCCTGTGCCTGTGTGGGTTTCCTCAGGGTACTCCGGTTTCCTGCCACACTCCAAAGACATGCTGGTAGGTTAATTGGATCTGGTCTAAATTGGTCCTAGTATGTGTATGTATGAATGTAAGTTAGGGATCTTAGATTGTACAATTGTAGATTGTACTTGAGGGTTAGGGACTGATGTTAGTGTACAATATACATATATGTAAAGCGCTGTGTAAATTGACGGCACTATATAAGTAACTGTAATAAATATGTGTATATATATATATAAACATTTTTTGAAAATTCTTACATCATATTACCTGAATTTCAGGTGCACAGGTAGATGATAGCAACCCTCGCCGCACTGGACATCGCATCGTGGCTCCCCCTGGTGGACGTTCAAACATCACAAGCCTGGGTTGAAAGGACAGAGTGAAGAGACCTTGGAAAGAGAAAAAACAGTCACCGGAACAGTGTTCCATTCTTTGTCAGTGTTATTGAGTTGAGCCCACAGTTTTTTTGCTACTAATGAAAACAATGGTCTGTTTTGTATAGGAAAGGTGGTCATAGTACTGTGAACTGCTCTGAATGAATCGTCACACTCTTATCCATAGTCACTTGAAAGCATGGATCACCCATTGCCGTTGTAGATTATAGACTCCAGCTTTGTCTTGTAGCCGTTTCTTTGCACTGTTTAGTTTGTATGTTGTGTGGGTAGTGCATGTTTTTTTTTTTATTTATTTATATGATGTAGAATGTGAGTTTGAAGACATGCCAACAATTATCTAGACACAATGCCAAGATCAACTTTGCCACCGATAACCAAGAAATGTGAACAATTTTATGTATGCAGTAGATTGCTAAATGTACCATGTTGAATTTTTTTGTACTTTTTTTTACTGTATTATGCCACAGCCAGCAATATCACACAAAAATGATGAAAAACTGGTAAAATGCACAGTCCTGAAACCAGGAATTTTCACACTTTCTTTAAACTAGAGTTGGGCAGACTCCAGTCCTTCAGTTGCTGATAAGCTGATACACCCAATGCAGGAGCAGACCTGGAACCCTTTTCTCTTCTCATAGCCCTACCCCTCATTTTTTTAAATACTATTCTCTGCCTTCTTGTGCTAACCTTAAGCCTTTTGGACAAAAGACATTTACATGAAGCTGATACTTATTTGTTGTTAGTGACTTTAACAAGAACTGGGTAGTTAATAAGACCATTCTTACAAGATGGTACTTCTGCTGTTGATAACCACAGATCTAAAACACCAGAGGAAGTCTTGCTGAGCAAAGACTTCCTTGTTCTTCTGGGCACCTCTATGACTTCGACTCCTGTGGCAGTGAAGGTTCATATAAGTTCCTGTCGTGGTGGGAAAGATTGTTAGAATGAGTGGTTTGTAGCAGTAGGTGGTTCCATTACAGGATCCACATTACCACTGGGCTTGGTTGTGGTTCACATTGGGTTCCTCAACAGCGGAAGGACAGCAGACTGCCTTATGCCTAATTTAAGCCATTCTACACAATAAAACCTCTCTGCTTAGAGTTTTGATACAGTCCATCCAAGTTAACCTAATTTTTACAGTTTTGTACAGTTTTTTTTCAGTTTGTACTTCACATTGCATTTTTACTTAGAGTTGCATATGACGTCCTAGATGTGATTCTATTACAGAATTCAAAGCTTATGGAATAAATAAGAAAACATCTTTCTTGTGTCTCATTCTTCTTTGGTTATTCTTGGGAAACTTTAGTTTAACCTAAACATTCTATACATGAACTGTTAAGACAAAAGCTTGGCATATGGAGATTTCTGTAATGTGGAAGTGTTCATAAAAAAATATCCTTCGCTTGGTAACCACTAGAAGAACTGCTACCCTGCCTTTTTTTAATTTTTATTAAAGTAGCATCTAAAGAGATAGTAACAAACAATACAACAGGTCATTACAGGGTATGAAACAGAAACAAAACATCCTGCGCTCTAGGAATCAAAACAAGGGTGGAAAGATGAAAGGATTCCTTGAAACAGTTCCATAAATGCATGGAAGGTTGTGCAGCTCTAAAACAAGGCTGGGGAAGCCCAACCAGAACTGTGAAGTGAAGCAAAAAGAAAGAGCGCACCAACCTTGTGCGTTACCTCAGTAAACTATGAATGTATTAAATAAAACATATACAGTCAGGTCCATAAATATTGGGACAGCGACACAATTCTAACATTTTTGGCTCTATACACCACCACAATGGATTTGAAATGAAACGAACAAGATGTGCTTTAACTTCAGACTGTCAGCTTTAATTTGAGGGTATTTACATCCAAATCAGGTGAACGGTGTAGGAATTACAACAGTTTGCATATGTGCCTCCCACTTGTTAAGGGACCAAAAGTAATGGGACAATTGGCTTCTCAGCTGTTCCATGACCAGGTGTGTGTTATTCCCTCATTATCCCAATTACAATGAGAAGATAAAAGGTCCGGAGTTCATTTCAAGTGTGCTATTTGCATTTGGAATCTGTTGCTGTTAACTCTCAAGATGAGATCCAAAGAGCTGTCACTATCAGTGAAGCAAGCCATCATTAGGCTGAAAAAACAAAACAAACCCATCAGAGAGATAGCAAAAACATTAGGCGTGGCCAAAACAACTGTTTGGAACATTTTTAAAAAGAAGGAACGCACCGGTGAGCTCAGCAACACCAAAAGACCCGGAAGACCACGGAAAACAACTGTGGTGGATGACCGAAGAATTCTTTCCCTGGTGAAGAAAACACCCTTTACAACAGTTGGCCAGAACACTCTCCAGGAGGTAGGTGTATGTGTGTCAAAGTCAACAATCAAGAGAAGACTTCACCAGAGTGAATACAGAGGGTTCACCACAAGATGGGAACCATTGGTGAGCCTCAAAAAAAGGAAGGCCAGATTAGAGTTTGCCAAACGACATCTAAAAAAGCCTTCACAGTTCTGGAACAACATCCTATGGACAGATGAGACCAAGATCAACTTGTACCAGAGTGATGGGAAGAGAAGAGTATGGAGAAGGAAAGGAACTGCTCATGATCCTAAGCATACCACCTCATCAGTGAAGCATGGTGGTGGTAGTGTCATGGCGTGGGCATGTATGGCTGCCAATGGAACTGGTTCTCTTGTATTTATTGATGATATGACTGCTGACAAAAGCAGCAGGATGAATTCTGAAGTGTTTCGGGCAATATTATCTGCTCATATTCAGCCAAATGCTTCAGAACTCAATGGACGCCGCTTCACAGTACAGATGGACAATGACCCGAAGCATACTGCAAAAGCAACCAAAGAGTTTTTTAAGGGAAAGAAGTGGAATGTTATGCAATGGCCAAGTCAATCACCTGACCTGAATCCGATTGAGCATGCATTTCACTTGCTGAAGACAAAACTGAAGGGAAAATGCCCCAAGAACAAGCAGCAACTGAAGATAGTTGCAGTAGAGGCCTGGCAGAGCATCACCAGGGATGAAACCCAGCGTCTGGTGATGTCTATGCAGTCCAGACTTCAGGCTGTAATTGACTGCAAAGGATTTACAACCAAGTATTAAAAAGTGAAAGTTTGATTTATGATTATTATTCTGTCCCATTAGTTTTGGTCCCTTAACAAGTGGGAGGCACATATGCAAACTGTTGTAATTCCTACACCGTTCACCTGATTTGGATGTAAATACCCTCAAATTAAAGCTGACAGTCTGCAGTTAAAGCACATCTTGTTTGTTTCATTTTAAATCCATTGTGGTTGGTGTATAGAGCCAAAAATGTTAGAATTGTGTTGATGTCCCAATATTTATGGACCTGACTGTATATACTCACAACCAAGGAAGTATAACAAGCATAAACAGATCCTCAAAGGAAATTGAAGTGTAGAACCAGGGTGAGTCACATCATTACAGGTTAGCACAAGTTCCACCATAACTAAGCATACGGATGTCAACACTAGAGATGAGCTTAGACGTCCTCCGAACGCTAACCAAACTCCAAACTCAAACTTATTTTTTTTTACTCCAATGAGCTGTGGGCACCAACCACAATTTCTCAAGTTCCATGATTATAGGACCAAAGTATGGCTCAAGATGCCAGGTATCTGCATAATATTTTGTTCTCTTGGGAACCCCCAGTCCCTCTCAGAATCTAAGTGTACACAGCTTAAATTTGGAGAGTCTTTGCCACTTTTAGTTCCATATAAAATTAAGAAAAGACATGCAGAGTTTTTTAAGATCTGTAGATGCTAGGTATCTTAGTTTGCAGAATAATATATTGTTTTGTTGGGAACACCCAGTCTCCCTTGGGATCTAAGTATACCCAACAACCTTCTAGACTAGAGAGTCTATGTCACTTGTAGTTCTTTATAAAATGAAGTATACATTAAGTAAGACATCTGGAGTTTTTACAGTTCTGTAGACTGTACCCTAACAGGAAGGGATTCAAACAGATATAAAAGTTTGGGATGATTGTTTTGTGGTTTGTCCTAGGATAGTTGTTCCGATGTCCTTTTATAAACTCTTAGTCCCCTTGACATGGGGTGGAATCTAATTTGCTCAGCAGGGAATCTGTCCGCTGATCCCCTGCTGAGCAGAGCAGAGTAGGCAGATGACAGGTCCATGTCCATTCAGTTTTTGCAGAGAGGACACGGACACATCCAGTTTTGCACTATGGGTGGTCGCGTGTAAATGGTTGGGTGTAAACAGATCCGCTTAGATGGAGGGGGATTCTAATGTTTTTCTTTTTAGTGCACCAGTTTGGATTGGAGGTAGGTGGGTGTAAACGGACACAAGTCTGTTTACACCCTCAAGTCCATAGGGGTACATGGACCAACAGATCAGGTACACTTGAAAAACAGGTGGACCTGAATGGATCACCCATGTGAAAGGAGCCTTAGACCGTGTTCACCAGAATTCTATTCCTGTTATAGTAACAAATCAAAATTTTAAATGTTTCCTCACTTTCAGGCATGAGGACAGTGGTCATTATAACAGATAGATTGTCTATCTAGATAAGTTTTGCTAACAGGGACAGCAATAAAAACATGACATGGGATTCTAACACATTTCTAACCCATCACCACTCTATCCAAAGCTAAAGAGAATAGTTTTAGATGCATTTTAAATCTGTCATAATGCTGAAAGACAAAGTCATGAGCTTCTTGTGATCACCAGTTAATTTCAGGAGCCTCCAAATTGTGATCCAATTTTTGAGAGCCAAGCTTCATCTTTATCAAGTACACTGATTGTTGTTTACATCTATCGAATTATATTTGCTGATCCGAAATGGATGTGTGATCATTTGACACTTGTGTTAAAAGCTGGCCAAAGATGGATTGAATCTCAGCTGGTTCAGCAGGGGTTGACCAAGATTCAATCTATGGGCAGGCTGGTTGTCCATTGATCAACTTGGGTGCAACCAGCCTG